GCTACTGAGCTTGTCAATGGTAATGGTAAGCAGTACATGCATACTGTATAATGTATACATTATGTGGTGGACTTTGTGAAATGAATAGTTTTAATTTAAAAGTAGTGACACTAAAGTTCTATTTATTCCACAGTGCCATCCTATTTATAAAATTTGCTACTTTTATTGTGCTTTATAGATAATAGACAAGGCGTTATGACAAACTATGTTATCTGCACTGAGGAGAAAAGCACCAAGAAAAGTATTTTTTGCTATAATATTAAAATATTGATTATTTTCTAAATTATTACGGAAGGAACAAAAAGATGAAGACCGCCAAAGGTGAAGCAGAAAGAAGTAGAAGGAAGTATGTTTTGTAACATGGTGTTGACTTACATGCGTATGTATGGTGTGTGTGTGTGTGTCTGTGTGTGTATTATAGGTAAAAAACCAAAACAGGACATGGAAGAAAGGAAAGAGAAAAAACCAAAGAAGGCAAAAAATGTAGGCTCGATCATTGTTGTGACTGATCACACTGACAAGATTAAAGGGAGGGTGACATGCGAAATTTTTTTTTCCAATAACCGCATATATGCATTGAACATACCTCAAAACAACTATTTCTAGTTGCATTCTTGCATTAAATTTTGTTTGATTTTATTATGCAATGCTGAAGTTGGCTGAAGTGCTGCAGACATCTTGCTTCATTTTTATTTCCTGTATAAATGGGCGCGGTCATGATGACATCACAGGGGGAACACATGCAGTGCAGTACAAGTGCAGTAATTGTAGAGTTACTATCATAAGTCATAATGGTGTGTAGCAGCAGGATGCTCCAACACATATCAGGATAATGTCAGCCTTTATACTTTCCCAAAGGATAGTAAACTTAGGCAGGAATGGACTAGGGAAGTGAAGAGAACAAGAAGCAATTGGACAGGCCCAATTAAGTGACTACTCAGTCCTGTGTCAGTAGTAACCACTTTAGTGAAGACAGCTTTTTTGTGGATTTTCTTGTCCTTAGTAGCTCTGGAGTATTACCAAGAACAAAGAAACTTATACCAAGAGCCATACCTACTATATTTACTTGTTGCACACAAGTAGTTCAGGTGGCCGTTCAGAAGAGAAAGTTTGTGGAAGATGAAGCCAAATAGAGCTACCCTAGCTCTTTCTCTTTTCTCAATTACTGTTCTCGGCTTTTTTTCAGGAATCTCTTCCAGAGATCTGGCTTCATCTTCCACAAGCTTTTTCTTCTGAGCCACCTGCATGAACTTGTGTGCAACGAAATATCATGTGTAGTAGGTAGGTATGGCTCCAGGTATAAGTTTCTTTGTTCTTGGTAATACTCCAGAGCTACTAAGGACAAGAAAATCCACAAAAAAGCTGTCTTCACTAAAGTGGTTACTACACAGGACTGAGTAGTCACTTAATTGGGCCTGTCCAATTGCTTCTTGTTCTCTTCACTTCCCTAGTCCATTCCTGCCTAAGTTTACTATCCTTTGGGAAAGTATAAAGGCTGACATTTTCCTGATATGTGTTGGAGCATCCTGCTGCTACACACCATTATGATTTATGATAGTAACTCTACAATTACTGCACTTGTACTGCACTGCATGTGTTCCCCCCGTGATGTCATCATGACCACGCCCATTTATACAGGAAGTAAAAATGAAGCAAGATGTCTGCAGCCTTCAGCCAACTTCAGCATTGCATAATAAAATCAAACAAAATTTAATGCAAGAATGCAACTAGAAATAGTTGTTTTGAGGTATGTTCAATGCAAATATGCGGTTATTGGAAAAAAAAATTTTGCATGTCACCCTCCCTTTGAGGACGGTGGTGAGAAACAAAAATTATCATTAATTATGTGTATATGCAGTTATTGATGATAGTAATAATGAAATGGTGGTAACAGAGAACAGTACTACAAAAAATAATGCTGCAGAAAGAAAATCATTATTGGTAACAGTACAATTAATAGTTTTTGTGTTAGTTTCATAGATGTTGATAGTTTGCCTGATACTGGTCAAGTTCCGAATCAAGTATTTGTATTTGCTACCTAGAATTTTAGATGCTAGCCAACACTTGTTATCACCTCCCACTGTGCATGAAGTGTGAATAATTAATTTATAATATGAAGTATGAGACAATAATCTATATTTTTTGTGTGTACAATTAATATATTTGTGTTTGCAGGTTCTTTAGCAATGAGTATTCATATTGATAATCTGGAGGCAAGAGTAATTAGTACGGAAAACCGTTTGAATGAAGCTTTTATACGAATTTCTACATTAGAAGATAAATTTCAGATGTCCCAACAGCCACCTTTACTGCCTAATACATCACCTCCAGAACATTTAAAGGATACCGATGTGTCTTACATTCTCTGCAAAAGTGATGATGATGATGATCCAGTATTACCTCCTCCAGTACAACCACCTCCACCCACTGCTCACTACAGCTACATGCCAGCTGCCCCACTGTATGTACATCAGACTGGTAAACCTCCTTAATTTCAACATCCATCTGAACAGTCTCCTGGCTACAGTCATAGTCATACATCACCTCTTTACCCTGCTCAGTTGTCAAAATACTATACCTCACCACCTAATACACTTGTTTCACCTGCTATGTCAAGTTCGATACCACCTACTGTACCTAGTTCTGTGCCTAAGTGTTTGCCTATACAAGGAAAAAGGAAGGCTTCAATTCTTCCTAGGTTTGAGATCAACAAAGAAAACCTTTCAACTTGTGACATTATATTGAAGAAGTACTCACATTACATAATGAAAAAACTAGCTGTCAAATTAGCAAGTGAGATTTATTTTGGGAAATGATGTCCTGAAAAAGTGAACGGTAATGGGCTTATGAGGTTATCCATCAGCCTTGCCAACACAGCTTGGAGAAGTGAGAGATGCTGTCTATATATTAAATAATTTTTATTACTTGGTAGATTGGGAGACTTGTGAGTAAACTGGAGCAGGAAAGGTCAAAAAAATTCACTTCAAATTGTAATGTAATGTTTTGACTTTTCTCTTCTCAGTGAAGTCTTACTCTACTTTCGAATAATTCTGACCAGATATATTTAAATTACTGTATTGCCAGAAACTTTCAAGAAACTTAACTTTTGTTGTTTGCACGCCTTAGCTGAGATTCACCAAATTTGAAGAGAAAGAAAATAAAATGGAATGAGAAAGAAAGAAGAATCAGCATTGCAGAAATCAACCATAAAAGTACATCAAAAATGCTTTTAAAGTTCCTTCATTACGTAGGCTCAACTGCTTCTTCATTATACTACTTTTTTGCAATCTACTGTAGCACAGAAAAGAAGACATAATTATTATGTGAAAAAGAGGAAAAAGGACAGGAGGAACATGGAGAATGAGGTAAGTGGAATGGGCACCATCAATTACATCTTCAGATTGGCCTCTGATCTAAAT